GTGTATGAAAAATGTTCTGGCTCTTCCAGGCCTTATAATGGCAGTGAATGACCGTTTCTGTTTTTAAGTCCATTAAAGTGCATCTATCTATCCTAAAAGTGCATTTATGATGGATAGAGGCACTTTTATGATGGATAGATGCACTTTTATGATGGATAGATGCACTTTTATGATGGATAGATGCACTTTTATGATGGATAGATGCACTTTTATGATGGATAGATGCAATTTAATCATGAAAAAATGCACTTTTATCATGAATAGATGTACTTTTATGATGGATAGATGCACTTTTATGATGGATAGATGCACTTTTATGATGGATAGATGCACTTTTATCATGAATAGATGTACTTTTATGATGGATAGATGCACTTTTATGATGGATAGATGCACTTTTATCATGAATAGATGTACTTTTATGATGGATAGATGCACTTTTATGATGGATAGATGCACTTTTATGATGGATAGATGCACTTTTATGATGGATAGATGCACTTTTATGATGGATAGATGCACTTTTATCATGGATTGATGCACTTTTATGATGGATAGATGCACTTTTATGATGGATAGATGCACTTTTAACATGAATAGATGCACTTTTATCATGGATTGATGCACTTTTATCATGAATAGATGCACTTTTATCATGGATAGATGCACTTTTATCATGAATAGATGCACTTTTATGATGGATAGATGCACTTTTATCATGAATAGATCCACTTTTATCATGGATTGATGCACTTTTATGATGATAGATGCACTTTTATCATGAATAGATGCACTTTTATCATGGATAGATGCACTTTTATCATGTATAGATGCACTTTTATCATGAATAGATGCACTTTTATCATGTTTAGATGCACTTTAATCATGAAAAAATGCACTTTTATCATGAATAGATGCACTTTTATGATGATAGATGCACTTTTATCATGAATAGATGCACTTTTATCATGGATAGATGCACTTTTATCATGTATAGATGCACTTTTATCATGGATTGATTCACTTTTATCATGTATAGATGCACTTTAATCATGAAAAAATGCACTTTTATCATGAATAGATGCACTTTTATGATGGATAGATGCACTTTTATCATGATAGATGCACTTTTATCATGGATAGATGCACTTTTATCATGGATAGATGCACTTATATGGACTTCAAAACAGAAACGGCAATTCACTGCCATTATAAAGCTTGGAAGTGCCAGGACATTTTTTAATATAACTCCGATTGTATTCATCTGGAAGAAGAAAGTCATATACACGGATGACTTAATGGTGAGAAAATCATGGGCTAATTTTCATTTTTCGGTGAACTATCCCTTTAAGGGTTTTCTGTTAGAACGGTGTCGTGTTAGCATAACTAAGTTAATAACTAATGATCTTCGCAATGGAAGTGAATCAATCAAAACTAACTTTATCTGGACAATAACTTTATCCTAGAGCTGCTGTAAAGCCTAAACAATCTGTTACAGTCATTTCTATTATCACTGTAAAGCTATCCATACTGTTAAAAGCGCTTTATAAATGAAGGTGACTTGTTCATAAAGAAAGGTAGTTGTGAGAAACTGGCCAAAGTGTCAAACCACTAGGCTCGCGCAGAAGCAATACTGGTCAAACATGTCCGTTCCAGATGGCCAGTTCCTCTGCTAAAGCGAGCGTGCCAGACCCGATGGCTTCATAACTGGAGATTTCAGTTTAACTGTGCCGTTCACATTTGCCAGCGAGCGGATTCCTGCGCTGTTATAATGGCACGGCAATGCAAAAAAAGAGGATTATTATGTATTAAAGGACGTCCAGTGACATACACGGGGCTGTAGTGATCCATAGTGAAGATATTGTTCACTTATTTTGCTTTAAATCATTTAAAGACACAGAACAATTGTGTGTCTCAGAGCAACACACAGCAATGTTTGGTTCCTGAATGAATCAGCGTTTTCATTCATAAATCAGTTCCTGAATAAATCAACCGTTTGAATGAATCAGTTGGATTAATGGCTAGTTTTATATTTAAAGCATTTTATTTAAATATATATATGTTCAAAATATTGTGTTTAAAACATTAGTCACATAGCAGTATTTATGCAAGAGTAAATACTGCTTTAGCAGCTTCTGTGCCACTTCTGCAGTGCAAACATTTATTTTGTTGATGATTTAATTTGTTAATATGTAAAAAAAAAAAAAAAAAAAGATGATGCATACATTTACTAAGGTTAGGAAAAAATTATCTTTTAATGGTAAAAATGCCCCTGGAATCAATTTAAGGTGGCAAAGGTTAATTTCTTTGAACATGAGGAATATGAAAACAGGCCTAAAGAAACCGAGATATCAGCAAAAAAATGAATAATCGTCATCAACAATATCCCATTAAATATTGAGATATCATTTTTTTGTGAATATCGCACACCCCAAAGACATTCCTGCTCATTTCATAGCTGTTTTCTGTATAAATGTAAAAGTGTCTTTTGAATAAGCTTCCCTGTGTTAATCAAGCTACAAGACAAACTGTTGTTAGTTGTTTTGCATCTAAAGTCTCAGTAAAGTCCTGGCCAAAAGGGGCGGCTTTTAGCGAAATAAAAGCGTTTAATGAAAGAATTTCAGTGTTCATTTACGTTTAGTTAAATCAGCTGAGAATCAAATGAATAGATTTCTCTTTTCCACAAGCATCCCCGACTCCGTTTCACCGCTGCCAGTGATGCTAACGTCTCTAGACAAGCCGGACGTTCCCCTGCGATTAGCCGTTTCACATGTGTGCTAGCGAGCGAAGCGAGGCGTTTTAGCGGAGGGGGATGTTTCCGCAATGCAGATCTCGGAGGTGCGAGGTCAACGCAAGTGTCTCCGAGCCGGATAAACCCCAGGGAATCAACAAAAAACAAGCTGCGTCGTTCCTCAGATAAAGCAACTTGTATCGAAAGACTAGGGGTGAAATTCAAGCCTCAGCGCTTATTAATCGAGAGTCGAGATGAAGAGAACGAAGCGGATGCGAGTCGATCCATTAGCTTCTCTTTCTCGCCTTTAAGCAGGAGATCACGGATGACTGAATGACTGGCTTGCGGCCCGTGTCGCTCTGGGCTCGAGGATGAGCAGTTTTACGCTCCACTGACCTCAGAACAGCAGGAGGGAGATCTCGGGCCTTCGGTGGGCCAGCGCTGGGCTTAAACTGGGCCGAAGAAGAGCCAATTGCAGCCTGGCAAACTATATCAAGAAACGCTCCTGTGTTCTGAAAGGCCTGACGCACACAGACAGGTCTCGCCTCGCTCCAGGACTCCCATGATGCCAGGCGGGAGAATTAGACCGCAGCTGAGATACAAATGTGTGCGCACTTTTAAAAATGAAGGTTCCAAAAGAAGCATTTGTTGGCTCTTTAAAGCAGCTTTCAGTGAACATTCTAAAGAACCTTTGTGGAATGGAAGGTTCCATGGATGTCCTTCATGGAACCATCGATGCCCATAATAAAGAACCTTCATTTTTAAGAGTGTATTTGTGAAGGTGTGATTGTGTAGATTTAAGCTTTAGTATATTTATATTAGTTTGTTTGTATGTTTATCAGTCTGTCTTTTATAGATTTGTGTTTTCGATAGCAATCTGGTGTTGATCCCAAAAATATCTAAAAGCAACGTTTGACTAATTTATAGTCAATAAGTCATTGGTGATGAATCAGAATGATGCTCATGAATCCTGATGTAACATCAAACAGTCCCTCTAGTTTTCCAGATTCCACGATTGCTGAATACAACGCAAAATCAACAAAATTATGCATTTTTTGCTATCCAGCATAATTCGCCATTTTAGCTTTAAAATGACTTGGGGAACACTTTATTTCACAGTTACACATGTTACATGTAATTACTGTAGTAGTAACTATAAATTATGCATAATTACATGCAACTAACCCTAAACCACAACCTAATCCTATAGTAAGTAATTATTATTACTCTGTTATTAAATGTATAATTACACTGTAATATGGACACCTTAAAATAAAGTGTAACCTGTTTCCCATGTACACACTGTGTACTTATTATAGTAGTTATAATAACTAGGTACTAACCCTGAACCTAACCTTAACCCATGTACCTTAACACTGTAAGTACACATACTTTAAAATAAATGTCAGATTTGAAATGTGTTCAAAATCTTCATGGTTTTTAGAATTGAATCGCAGTTTCACAGCATATGATTGGCTGTTCACTAACTTACTGATGTCACACTTTCATATGCATGTGCTCCATAGTTATGCATAAACTCAGGATCAGAGAAAGTTGATCCACAACAGAACCGGAAGACAATACAATGCTGAATAAAGTCCTAGTTTTGGTTATTTTTGGACCAAAATGTATTTTCGATGCTTCAACACACTCTAACTAACCCACTGATGTCACATGGACTACTTTGAGGATGTCTTTATTTCCTTTCTGGACAAGGACAGTATACCGGACATACATTTTCAATGGAGGGACAGAAAGCTCTCGGACTAAATCTAAAATATCTCAAACTGTGTCCCGAAGATGAACGGAGGTCTTACGGGCTTGGGACGACATGAGTCATTAATGACATCATTTTCATTTTTGGGTGAACTAACCCTTTAATTGTTGAATATTATTCTTGGTGTGAATGTGTGTGTTGAATTGAATGTGTTTGTGCTTACCTCTGTCGGTGTCGTACAGGAATACGAAGCGGTTCCAGTCGTAGTGGTCGAGGAGACTCATTAGCGCCCCCCGGATGGAGGGACGGAGCTGCAGCACGAACTGAGTCTCTCCCTCGGCTGGGAAACTGGGAGTCACCAGAGAGATGTGCAGCGCACTGCAGAACGACGTCAGCGTGTGGACCGAGCGCTTATCGTACAGGCCGAAGATCGCAAACACCCCTCGGGAATACTGCGAACAGACTGCACAGAAAGAGAGGCCGACTGTAAGTGCTCAGAGAACAACAAGAAGGAACGACAAACTAAATGCAGACAATACAGGGTTTGAAAATTCACGAAAATTCACGGTTCGGTTCGATACGATACAGTGGTGTTACGGTTCGGTACGTTTTCGATAGAGCAAAAAGAAAGAAATGCCAGAGAAATTTCCTATTTACTAAAAGAAAAACTATTTTTAAAGGTGCAATGTGTAACATTTTTGAGTATCTATTAACAGAAATGCAATATGACATCCATAAGGACCTGTAGTCCTTCTCAAAAAATTAGCATATTGTGATAAAGTTCATTATTTTCCATAATGTAATGATAAAAATTAAACTTTCATATATTTTAGATTCATTGCACACCAACTGAAATATTTCAGGTCTTTTATTTTTTTAATACTGATGATTTTGGCATACAGCTCATGAAAACCCAAAATTCCTGTCTCAAAAAATTAGCATATTTCATCCGACCAATAAAAGAAGTGTTTTTAATACAAAAAAAAAAAGTCAACCTTCAAATAATTATGTTCAGTTATGCACTCAATAGTCAATACTTGGTCGGGAATCCTTTTGCAGAAATGACTGCTTCAATGCGGCGTGGCATGGAGCCAATCAGCCTGTGGCACTGCTGAGGTGTTATGGAGGCCCAGGATGCTTCGATAGCGGCCTTAAGCTCATCCAGAGTGTTGGGTCTTGCGTCTCTCAACTTTCTCTTCACAATATCCCACAGATTCTCTATGGGGTTCAGGTCAGGAGAGTTGGCAGGCCAATTGAGCACAGTAATACCATGGTCAGTAAACCATTTACCAGTGGTTTTGGCACTGTGAGCAGGTGCCAGGTCGTGCTGAAAAATGAAATCTTCATATCCATAAAGCTTTTCAGCAGATGGAAGCATGAAGTGCGCCAAAATCTCCTGATAGCTAGCTGCATTGACCCTGCCCTTGATAAAACACAGTGCACCAACACCAGCAGCTGACATGGCACCCCAGACCATCACTGACTGTGGGTACTTGACACTGGACTTCAGGCATTTTGGCATTTCCTTCTCCCCAGTCTTCCTCCAGATTCTGGCACCTTGGTTTCCGAATGACATGCAAAACTGAGCAACGGTCCAGTGCTGCTTCTCTGTAGCCCAGGTCAGGCGCTTCTGCCGCTGTTTCTGGTTCAAAAGTGGCTTGACCTGGGGAATGCGGCACCTGTAGCCCATTTCCTGCACACGCCTGTGCACGGTGGCTCTGGATGTTTCTACTCCAGACTCAGTCCACTGCTTCCGCAGGTCCCCCAAGCTCTGGAATCGGTCCTTCTCCACAATCTTCCTCAGGGTCCGGTCACCTCTTCTCGTTGTGCAGCGTTTTTTGCCACACTTTTTCCTTCCCACAGACTTCCCACTGAGGTGCCTTGATACATTACTCTGGGAACAGCCTATTTGTTCAGAAATGTCTTTCTGTCTTACCCTCTTGCTTGACGGTGTCAATGATGGCCTTCTGGACAGCAGTCAGGTCGGTAGTCTTACCCATGATTGCGGTTTTGAGTAATGAAACAGGCTGGGAGTTTTTAAAAGCCTCAGGAATCTTTTGCAGGTGTTTAGAGTTAATTAGTTGATTCAGATGATTAGGTTAATAGCTCGTTTAGAGACCCTTTTCATGATATGCTAATTTTTTGAGAATTTTGGGTTTTCATGAGCTGTATGCCAAAATCATCAGTATTAAAACAATAAAAGACCTGAAATATTTCAGTTGGTGTGCAATGAATCTAAAATATATGAAAGTTTCATTTTTATCATTACATTATGGAAAATAATGAACTTTATCACAATATGCTAATTTTTTGAGAAGGACCTGTATGTGTTCAGTGGTGTATAAAGAACTTACTTAATAAACCGTAATGTTTTTATTACCTTAGAATGAGGCATTTATATCTCCATAACCACGGGAATCCCCTTCTATGAAGGTCGCCATATTGTGACGTCATGTTTCTACCGTAGCCGACAGCGAACAAACAACGTTACAGAGCGCGTTTCGTCACTACCTTGAAAGAGAAGCCGCAGGAAGCTAGAAGAAGCTAGTCATAAACACCGTGAGTAGTGACTTTTCCCTTGTCAGTGGTGTAAATATGTAGTTGAATTGTTTCATGTAACTTAATTCTTCTCCCTCGCTGTGTTATGGCTTTGCTATGTGGGGATAAATGTGCTGGTTAAGTTCGTGAGACAGCTGATTAGTAGGCTACTCTTGTCATTGACCGTAAAACAGTTACAGGAATCACCAACCCGTCGATCTTGGAAGCATTTTAAGTCGATCTAGTTTCCAAAATCAGAGAAAAAAAAACCTACTGTGTGTAGTAAGTGTGTCTAGGGGATGCGGAGGCGCGCGCTGTTACAATCACGTCATTTTTGCCGCACGCACCTTTGGGCTCATGCGGACACGTCGAGTTTAAACAAGGCTTAACACTTTGAACAGCTCAGCCACAGTAACAGCTCATATTAGCCAGCTAAACTTTTACTACCCTGTTAGAAAAAATATATATTTGCATAGTTTCATGTGGTTCTTCTCCCTCGCTGTATTATGGGTTTGCTATGTGGGGAGAATGTGCTGGTTACGTTCGTGAGACAATCAGCTGATTATTATTATTATATTATGTATTAAGACCCTTGATCCTCACCTGAAACTTTATCCATGATGTGGTTTATAATAGACTGTGGTACAGAAACTTGGTTTACGCTGGCTATTCTCTGCTGTCTCAGTCGACGATGTTTGTCCCGTTTTAGCCACCGTAGCTTCTTCGAAAGGGAGGGGTGAGCGGTGGGCTGAGCCCTTAGTGTAAACTCGCAACCGAACCGCTAGATGTCGCTAAAAGTCACACACTGCACCTTTAAATAGGCCTAAGTGTGAGTTTTCCTACATCTTGAAACTTTTAGTTTTATAAATGGGGGGGGGTAATCTTTGAAGGATGAACAAATAATGTTTTGGTCATCACATTAAAAATAACATTTAAATATAATAATATTCGAGTTTTGAAGTGCTGGGAAAAAGATGTGTGACGTGCTTGAAAGCATTTTACTATTTTTGCCAAACTTCCATGGTTACAAGTTAGTGTTACTACATTAAATCCATGGTGGATGTTGCAGATCTGTGGACTTAAAGCCTATAACTACTTCATTCATGGAACAATGTTTCTCCTGGTTTCCACGTCAGCGCTGTTTGGTCCGTTAATAACGGAGAAATGTGAATGTTTCTCACTAGATCTCGCAGCGATGTTATTACTTCAGTGGTGAACTCAAATGCTTTGTTTACTGGATCTCTCAGCGCTGTGTAGTAACCGGTAGTAACAGTGTCGCTTGATCAAGATCGGCTCGCGCTGCTCTGACATTGGTCCAAACTGATAAATAATGAGTAGCGCAGTTTCGTTCCGCTTTCATTACGTTTGCCATTTGATATTGCGCAACATTGTGGTCGCGGCAGCGCGGATTTTGGTCGGCAGGAAAAATTAATAATATCCATAATAAAGGCTAGATGTCTTACGGCGGAGTCTCTATCGTCATCACCGGCGGCCATCTTGTCACAGGCAAGCTTTCTGGCGGGCTCTGATGTAAGATGAGTGATCAGCACGAACACTAATACTCTTATCTCGTCGAAATCTTGACGGATTTACAAACGGTTTGGTTTCTTACAAACGTTATTAACGTGGCTATAATTCTGGATGATTATTTATTTATACACTTATTATTCATAATAAGTGTGCAGTGTCATAACTACATCTCTGACGTTAATAACAAACCAAACCGTTTGAAAATCGGTAGAAAATTGAGCAAGTTATGGTTATTTAAAAAGAACATGCACCATTAAAACACAATGTTACGAGTGAGCGAGCTGCCTGTGACAAGATGGCCGCCAGTGCGGACGTCGCCCTCCGTTGGCCAGCAGCGCGGACGAGACATCTAGCCTTTATTATGGATATCTATGGGAAAAATGGTCCAACGAAACGTTCGGTTTGTAATGCGTACCGAACCGAAATCCTCGTACTAAACGGTTCAATACGTTCGTTACACCCCTAAATCAATTTTTAAGTTACCAGCCATTCAGAAACTCTACTAGCCAAAACAAAATGATCATGAATAAACCAGAATAATAGTCACTAATGAGATATAAATATTTTTTAATTACCGTAAATCTGAATCATTGAATGGCTTTTAGTTTTACTGTAGCAACATCATTGTTTGAAGATAATATAGAAATATAATAAAAGTCTTTGTGATTTCGCTTATAAACAGCATTTATTGTAATTTTTAAATATAGCTCGCCCTATAAAGTGATCAAATGAATACATTCCTGCTGCTGTCTGTGTTTTTAATGTTAATTAAACAAAAACGGACAAAGAAAATAATATCACTCGCTGCTCTTGGCTGAATAACTTTTGCAACTTTAATAAGGATTAATCTGTTTGATTTATACAGTGAAGACTATGCAGTGTTATTTTACATTTTATTACTTTATTCAGTGACTCAATCAAAGACAAGTAACAAGAGGTTAAACATTCCCTGAAAACTACTAAGTGCTGCGCCCCCTTTTTTGAATAAACATGAAAATGCACAATCCGAACTTAAATGGTTGTAATTCAAAAATGCTTTGGAATATAGATGTAAGTGGTCTGTACTGGTCTTGTTTTAAAGAGGACATTTGGCAGATTTGTGTAGAAGTTAAATAAATTAAGAAAGTGAAACAGAAAAAAAGTTATAGAAGTTTGAGTTTATGAAAATGTAAAATGTAAAAATTTAATTATTCATATTTTATATATAAAATATATTTTTTTCAAAACCTGTGACACTCTAAAACTGCAAGAAAATCAAAACCAAAACTCTGAACAAGTTGTGTTTCAAATTTTAGGTTGATATCTTTCAGTAAGATTTTGTTTGTGCGCAGTACCGAACGCTTCCACTAGGGCACAACCAGACTCCATCACTGCCCATATAAGGGCGCCATTTCC